TGATGCTTCTTAGGGGACTGGCTCCTGTACTTGTAAGGAGATGAAATCAATAATTCTATGAGGTCTTTTCCATCTCTGACGTCTATCATCGCAGGAGTTGCAATGTGACTTTTGGTAGTTGTGATATCACAGAACAATGCATTTTGGGATGTTTCTGCCACACAGGAATTGCCAGTGAGATTTCATAGAAACAATAATTTTGTATTATATTAACCAAAACTAATTTCTGTGCAGAATACTCCCAACAGTCTCATCTGTAGGAGTGTTTGCAATATAATTCAAGGAATAACTCCGTTTTTCTTTTAGCTTAGCAGTCCACATTTGAGCAGAGGCTGCATCTCAGGCAATTGCACCTGGTCAGTTTAATATCCAACTGCACTCTGTTTTGATAACATGAATGCTCCTATTGCAGTCTATATCTTAAAGAATTTGAACCTAAATTCAGAGTCTCCTATTCAGCAAAGCATTTAAGCATGCACTTAACTTTAAACATGTAAATAATTTAATTGATTTAAGTGCTTTGCTGAATCAGGGCTATAGTGTGGAGTTATGTGTCACCTCCATGGTTGTGGTGATTAATTTTTCACTTTGTAGGGTAATTTTATATGATAAGATTAAAAAAAAAAGTCTTGCTTGAAGTAATCACGTACAATTTTAGTGTGTCAGTCAATGCCGAGAGAATAATTAGCACTGTAGATAAGAGGGCACCTATCTGCAAATATATTTTCAGCATTTCAGCAATATTACATACTGTGTAAGTGTCAGAAACATTTATAGAAAGTATCACCTTTTCAGAAGATAGGAAGTCAAAAGAAATATTTTCGTAATTGGATTTTAAAAGGAAACTCATTTCTCTCGTTGTTTACATTAATCACTGCCATTTTTCAAATACTGAAAAATTTAGATTATTTATTTTATTTTTAGGAGTGTGAAAAGAAGTTTTTCAAAGTGGTGGATAAAAAGGTGCTCTAATTACAACCTTGGACTTAATGTTTTGAATTGGTCTTTCCTTCCTCTGATGTGGACATGGGGGATTTTGATAGAAGTGTTTCAATGAGGGAATGTAGCTAACATTTTAACTTCTGGTTTTTTATCACCTTATTTTCTAAATTTGCAGCGGGGGGGGGCTGTATTGCACTGATTCACCTTCATGCCTGTTCGTACTCATGTATCTAGTGTAACTCTATCAGGCCTGATCTTGTAGTCCTTATTCAGGCAAACCTTAATCCTGGAATCCATGGAACTTTTGCTTGAGTAAGTACTGCAGGACTGGGCCCTTAGCTGTACATAATCTGAGAAGTAATAATTCTTGTATACTTATACAAATTGCTGTATACGCTGCAGTTCAGAATTTTTTACAACTTCTCAATAAATTCTTTGGGCCAAATCCTGCCCTGGTTTACACCATCTGCAGTTGCTCAGCTGCATCCGCATAGGGGCTCCATAGGAGTTAAGCTTAACACAGCAGTTTGGCATAGCAATAACACTGTAATTTCTGCACAGAAATCTCCAGGCTGGCCAGGGGATGTAGCCATAGAGAATAGGGACTCCCACTCCTTCTTGCCTCCAGGCTAACTTCCAGAACCCTTCCTCTGCTGGGTTCCAGGAGAGGCAGGGGAGATGGTAGCACCAGGTTGGTATCATCTGGTTCTGGATAGATAAAGATTAGAGTAAGATGCTTAAGGAATGCCTCCCCCGCCTCACCGCCACATGCTTTAGCAGAGACAAAAACTGGGCCCAAAGAAATGGTATTGCGTGGCTAGATACAGTAAAAGTATCTACATTTTTCTCTCTAGGAGACCCAAATGCAGATGATTTCATGAAACTATAGCAATCACCTCTACTGTAGGAGATCACTGTTCAGATAGTGTGGATATGGAAAAATATTGGATATTAGGAATCAAGTGTTGACCCACATTAAAGACAACAACATGTAACACTAGAGGGCAGCCAGCTATTTCAGAAAGGTCTTGTTACCTGAATTAAATTTAAAGGGACACACTGTCAGATAACCAGAATTTTCAGAAGTATTTACTATTTTATATCCTCTTTGCACTGGTGTAAAAGACTATGCAAGATGAAGGGCAAAGGAGAATCAGGGCTTAAGATACCTATTCTAAAGAGTTTTTACCCTGAGTTCTGTGTGGAATCAGAGTCAGTGGAACTGCATTCAAAATCAAGGATCTGTGCACGCCAATGCCTCTGCAGTATCAGATCCTAAAGAATTAACAGAATTCTCAGGAAATAGGAATTACTACAGCCCTAGAATTAGGGGCCCAGATCTTTGCTCTGATCAGCCTACCTGATTTAGGAGCCTAAGTCTCATTGAAAGTCATTGGAACGTAGGCTCCTAAGTACCTAAGTCACTTCTGAAAGTGAGATGTAGGGCCAGATTTTCAAAAGTGAGACATAAGGCTTGTGGGATTTTCAAAAGTGCTTAGGTGTCCAACTCCTATTGAAATCAATGGCAGGTAGACACCTAGGCTTTTGAAAAATAATAATAATAAAAAAAACACATTAGACACCTATCTGCATCTTTAGGTGTCTAAATGCTATTAAACATCATCCTCTCAGATTCCTATCAGTTAGGCATTGTAATGCTGAGTGGAGAAATGTCTAAATACCTTTAAAAATATGGGTCATAGTGATTACCCTTATGTGATTCCAGCAGGGAAGGAGAGGGATGGACAGGCTGTTTTTCTGTTTTTAATTAAAAAAAAAAAAGAAACCAACTAAGTGAAGTTGGGGACCCAGGACATCTTTCACTTCTGGTCCCTGGTGGGTGGAGATCCTCCTGATCAGAGTGCATGACTAAAGGGTGTGTGGATGGTGAGTGTCAGTTTTTGATGCAAAGAGAGCTGATGCTTTTGTTGATGGATCAATCTTTTCCCTGATTATTGTTGGGAAGGCATGCTTCTCCCTGGCTGAGCACCATCACAAAACTGGTGCTCTTCAGCATCTTTGAACTTGTTCCTAGTTGACTGCCAGCCCTGGAAGAGCTGCCCTCTAAGTTAGGACGGGAGAGTCACTTGAGCATGCTTAGTTCCTTCTCCTGTGTCAGTAACCAGAGTCTTATTACCATTTAGTACAGTCCTGCAGGATGGATTCATACATGGTTAGATTAAGGCATAGACAACCTAGGCACATGGCTAGCTGGAGTGGAGGGGGGATAGCGTGAGTGGCATTGTGACCCTTTGCGCCAGATCACAATGCCACTCCCTCAAATGTGGTCTTGCTGCCATCCCCATCCCCTGTCATGATGGAGGGGAGGCAGGGCCAAATCTGAATGGGTAGCAGGGCACCAGCTCTGCTCCTCCATGCTGCTGCCATGGGGCTGGCTCCTGCAACAGTACCTAAACCAGAGGACAAGCCAGAACTTCACCCCCCATCATCCAGGGCGGTGAACAGGAAGTGTCAGTGAGTGCCTGCATGGGGGAGCCAGCCGGGAAAGGGGCAGTGGGCACGAGGGAGTTAATAGGGCAGCATCCATGCAGCAGAAGCCAATTACTTACTGACCTGGATAGGAGAGGGTTAACTAAGCAACATCCAGTGATGGGTTAATTGTTCCAGTGAGTTAGAATGTTGTAGTTCATAGACTCTGCTAAAGTCATTCAATTTAAATTTGTTTTTTAATATTCTCCATGTTCTAATAAACATCACTATTTAAAATGAACTATAGGTAATTGACATTTATATGATATTAAGTGCTGCTAATCATTAGCCAAGGATGAAAACAAGACTCAGGGTTCAGAGGAGCCTGAAGAGGGCCAGTGGGACTCATCTAAGCATTTGATTAGAAACATAAGCAAGAAGGGCATTTATTCCTAAAAAGTGCTGCTGAGACACTGATTGCAGTCTGTAGATGTAAAGAAGAAAGCATAGGGAACTGAAAAAAGAAGGTGCTTTTACACACATTTTCTCTTCTGTAAAAGTATAACTGAAAATATGCAGTGGTGTTGTAACCATGTCTGTCCCAGGATATTAGAGAGACAAAGTGGGTGAGGAAATATCTTTTACTGGATCAATTTCTGTTGGTAGAGAGAAACTTTCAAGCTCTCACCCACCTTGTCTCTCTAATACATATAGAGAGATGCTTTAATTGGTTTAAATGGGTTATAAAAATAACAAATTCACATTAAGCACTTAGTAGCATATCAAGACATTTGAAGGCAAGATCCTCAGCTAGAGGATATCTCCATTGGACCCATAAATATTAGCATAAGTCTTACAAAATTATGTACGGTAAGTTTCAGTTGAATCTTTCCCCACGGTCGGTTTCTTTTATTAAACATTTGGGTATGTGTGCTAGATGGGGCTACTCTGTAGTGTTCCCTTTAGGGACATGCATTGCATTGCAGGCACTCCCTGCTTTAGTCTACAAGTTTTGGCTGCCTGCTTGAAGCCGGGTGGGCTGTGCCATCAGTTTGGCATCAATCTCTAACCAGTCAAGTAACAAAATAATAAATTCTTAATTTGGCTTTCTGTGCCTTTAATAAAGGAACAAAAAACTTAGTGGTGGTGCTTGAAGGCAAGGCTCTGACCTTGCCCCTGGGTTAGCACTGAGGAGCGCCTGTTCTGTCCCACATTCACTCAGAACTTCCCCCCCGAGAAGGCTTCTTAACTGGCCAGCTAGCTCCCAATTGTCAGTGTCTCCTCCTGGCCCTTTGAGGCTTTGGAGGACTAAGTCTTGTTGGTAGGCAGTCTGAACAGGTTTTCCTTGCACAGAGGAGTCAGGGCACCGAGAGCACAAGCAGGGGGCAGAGAAGGCCTGATAGACCCCATCCCAGAATCCTATAATGTTATGGGTAATGAAAGTTTGCATGTTTGAATCATAAATATCTATTTTCTAGCTAACCTTGTCCTTTAATATTTGGAATGTTAGGTGGTTGGATATGGCCAGGAATAAACTACCTCAGTCTCATAGCCACAGGTCAATTCAGAAAGAACAATTCAGAAATCTATATTATATAGTGTTTACATACATGTTTTTCTTCATTTAGACTGCAAGGAGATAACTTGGCAGAAACAGCAGAGGATGTCTCACTAGTGTCTCAGACGACCGAGCAAGCGGCATCAGATTCCAATGGTAAGTTATACAATATATGTGCCGCTGCCCTTCACAGCAAAACATAATAGTGAAGAAATAGTGGGGTCAAATAATATATTGTAGTAAAAAAAAAAAACCTAAATACATTTAGATTTAAACTCCACACCAAAGAGAGCTTGTCCAGCACTGATCACCCTTGACAATAAAAATAAGTTGTGCAATAACTCAGAAGAGCAGTAGTGCATCGAGATCATGCTAATCAGCAGGCAACCTACATTTTCCTCCAAAGAGAAATCCTGCCTCCAACTGTCTCAGAAATCCTGCCTCCTCTAATTCCCACACCAACATATGGGCTTTATGATGTGCCTGGGGCAAGTTTGGGCTGGGATGGGGAAAATGCCTGTGGAAATGGGCCGCCTTGTGAATGTTCTGCCAGCAGGCCTCTCACTTTCATACCAAAGGGGGTCTAGCTTGATCTCAGCTACAGCAGTTATGTCATGGGGAAGGAGGTAGCCTCTCAGATTGCAACAGTTTTGGGTACAAAATGTCTAGATGTAAACAACTTTGATGTGGATCTTTTGGGATTTTATCAGTGACCCACCAGTTAAGCCATTTTTGAGCCTGGAAATAAAAACAAACTGAACTACTGTGGACTGTAACAAATCTACTTTAATTTATTTCACTGAATGTCTGCCCTCCTGGAGACAATAACCTAAACCTTCTGCTGGTATTTGGATAGTCTTAAATTATTGCTCCATTCCTCACCCTCATTTTGCAAACAGTGAGTGTCAGTGTTTGTAACTGAGTATGTGTCACTAAATAGAAAATTAAGCTTTTGTTTGAAGGTTAACCCTCCTCCTCCCCTCCCAAACACCCTTGTCCCAACAATAATGCACTCTGCCATGCTGTCGCAGAAGGATATCTCCATTGGACCCATAAGTATTACAATATTATCTACAGTAGATTTCAATGGAGTCTTTCCCCAAAGTCGATTTCTTTTATTGAACATTTTGGAAGGTGTGCCAGGTGGGGCTACTCTGTAGTGCCCCTTCAGGGCCATGCATAGTGCTAGCAGCAGAAGGTGGGCAACATGGACTTTCATAACTCAGTCAATGATTATGGGTCTATTATAGGAGAGGGTGGATGAGGTTCTGTGGCTTGCAACATGCAGGAGGTCAGACTAGATGATCATATTGGTCCCTTCTGGCCTAAAGTCTATGACTCTATGACAAAACACTCCTGCTATGTGATGGAGACTCCTGCATCTGATGGGCATTTGGAGGAATTTAGGACATCCCCAAATCCTGTGCTTCCTCCCCAAAGATACTTAAAAGAGAGGAGGGAGCAGGTTTCCTCAGTAGTAGGCAGGCAAGTGGGGGCAGGGACCCCAATCTTACCCCACACACCTCTGCCTCTTATGGCTGAGGAGCTGCACACTAACAACCCGCTACCCAGATAGACAAAAAAATATAGCCTCCAGGGAAGAGGAGAGATGGCAGCAGTGATGTACTGCCAAAATTTTAACAAGGGGCTCTCTCAGAAATGTTCTGCCTCATGTGGCATTCCCTGGGCAAAATATTCCCTTCTGAATTTTTTTTCTTAAAGTGTTGACGAGCAATATATTTTGATTGAAAAATGACCCTTTCATAAGTAGGCACAATCCAGAAATAGGCATGAAACTCATAGCTGCCTAGCCGATCAATTTTTACTATATTTAGAGTACAGCCTGATTTCTGTACATCTTATATTTCCTTGCATTTCGGTATTGCATATGTGGTGATATCATCTCCCAACAGTAGAAAAATCTTTTAAATACTGTTGGAAAACTCCTGTAATACCAAGCACAGCTATTCTATTACATTTCCAGTTTTTAGTTACGTCCTATGAGAATGCATCATAAGATAAACGTTTGATAGTTTTTGTTTTTTTTTTTAAATTCAGGCTTGTCCAATGTAATTTGAGTTTATTCTGTTCTTAGTTATCACTACTAATCATGCTGTACTCCCTGCTGAGAGAAGATTTATATACTGAGAAATGCTGATAACCGTTGGTTCAGAATACACAAGCACAGTGCTGATGCTTAGCAAAATTAAAGTGCATGCCTCTGTTTTTGGATAGTGATCTGCTACTTAGTTAGTGGGCATGATGTTAAATTATTAGATCTGGAATACGTCTCTTGTGCATTTTAGAATGTATTGGGTTCAGAATTACTTAGCTAAATATCTGGTCTAGCAACCCATATTCATGAGTAATCCTGGATCATGCAATTCAGCCAACTGAAGTCATGTGATGATTCGTGACAGGATTGCTTGTGAGTAAAAGCTGCAGCATCAGACACTAAACTAGGTTCACAGAATTCAGGGCCTAATTTTGATTCCTACTATGTGGGTTTTACATTAGTGTAACCCTGTTGAATTAATTGAATTCATATCTGATCTAATCTAATGAGAATGATAGAGTAGAATCAGACTCTCAGTATTAAGGTTTTAGAATACAAGACTTTTGTAATTTGTTATAAATCAACTCTTTTCTTTACATGGTACCATATATCTTCACTAAAAACGATAAGCAGAGGAATTTAATAGCTCAGTACCAAATACTGCTCACAGCAAACAGCCTGAGTGTCCCTAGGTTATGTTACAGGAATTTCCATGGAGGTTAGGGATGGGGAGAAGAAGATTCCCCCCCCCCCCCACAGGTCTGTCCTGTCCCTTACCATGGATTCACTACCCCAGCCTCTGCTCTTTCCTTGGAATGTATCCAGCTGGGGTCCACGGTGGTAAAGACACTCTGCAAAGCATCCCTCATCTGCCCTGCAGCAGGACCACATGAGTCCCATTGCTTTCACAACACTATCTGCTGTTGGGGGAGCAATATTCCATTCCCCCTCCCCAGCCTGTGATTTTTCAACTTAAATACTGAGGAATAATAATAATAATTAATAATAAATGGAGATATCCCCTCTCCTAGAACTGGAAGGGACCTTGAAAGGTCATTGAGTCCAGCCCCCTGCCTTCACTAGCAGGACCAAGTACTGATTTTGCCCCAGATCCCCAAGTGGCCCCCTCAAGGATTGAACTCACAACCATTAGCAGGCCAATGCTCAAACCACTGAGCTATCCCTTCTCCCCCTGCTGTAAAATGCTGCAGCAATTTACAGCATTCACTTAACAACTAACTGCTCCTGGCCCCTTCATGTAAAGAAGTGCACCTTACTCTTCAAGAAGCCCCCATAAAACCAGGGAGAACAGGCCCTAAATGTGAAAAGTGTAATGAAAAATATTATATTGAATTGAAACATATCTTTGCAGTCAGTGCATACTTTCACAGGGAATCAAATACAAAAGTTGTACTACAGAACAAATTGCTAATGTGAAAACAATTCATGCTCTTTATTTCTATGGGCAGCATCTAGTGCTAAAACATTGCTGCAGTTGATACAAGTATAATGTAAAATGAGATTCTTCATGATATGGCACTTAGCTGCATAAATGTCCAAGGTACAGGAGGGAATTTGGTAATTTTAACTGAAAGACTCTGAAAAGAACAAAAATAATACATACTGTGTATAGCAACATTTATATGTGGTATTTATAGGTTTATTGTGTTAGGGGTACAGATTATGTTGTGTGATATAGTGTAATTAGTGAGTTTAATCAACTTTAGCTTGTCTATTATACAAAGAATTCTTTGTTGTGAAAATTACAATTCCCTGTTCATATAGATTATTGGTTTCTATTTTCTTCTCTATGTAATTAACCAACAAATGATTTCTAACTAGGAGTGTTTAAAAAGGCTATAATGAATGTTCCATAAACTTTTCCTGTAAGCAGTAGATATTAAAAATTTCCAGGTTGGCATTCTGATGTATTGGAAAAAGTATTTAAATGAGGGATGTTAATTATTAGCATAAGTAGGATAGCTGTGCTTAGTTTTAAACATGTGCATACTATTTCATCTGAGACTGTTAGGGCCAAATTCAGGGCTGAAATTAATGAAGAAGAGAGGAGTATGTGGAATGTAAGTCCATGCAGAATTCAGCCTATAATTTAATTTCTAACGACACTTGTGTCTTAATAGAAAACAATTCTTATACTTTGAGGTTGCTGAATGTTGCCCTCTAAGACTGCTAGCACTTCTGTTTTCCCAGGATGTTTTGTTTTAACAGCATTCCAGTGGGAGTCTAAATTGGTTTAATTATATTAAAGCTGCTTAACTGTGCTACTGTACACACTAAAAGACAAGCAGGATTTTGTTTTAATAGTTAAACTAATAATAAAAATAATAAGCTACAGACATCTTGGCAGCTGTACTTAGTTATTTGTCACCCTAATCCATTTAGAAATACTCCCACATTCTACCAAGCCATTATTCATGCACAGTAACAGAGCTCAAACCTAAACACGCATTAAAAATCTATACAAAGTACACCTACCCCGATATAAGATGACCTGATATAACACAAATTTGGATATAACGCGGTAAAGCAGCACTCCAGGGGGCGGGGCTGCGCGCTCCGGCGGATCAAAGCAAGTTCAATATAACACGGTTTCACCTATAATGCGGTAAGATTTTTTGGCTCCCAAGGACAGTGTTATATCGGGGTAGAGGTGTATAACTTCTGTAGTCACATTTACCATCCTGGCAGTTAATTTACAGGTTTTATTTTCTGATTTTCTATGAGATTAATTATGCTCTAATTAATTAGATGAATGTGCATTACTACTTTTCTACCTTTTTGGAACAGCTTCAGTGCCTGGGGTGGAAACACTGATGGAGGATGCTGATGAATTTGAGAGTGCATCTCAAATAACAGGACCTGTAAGTATCTTCATTTACAGATGGGCCAATCTGCCAAAACAAGCTGTTGAAATAAGACTTTATATAAAGCTGAAGGGTATACATGAAAAATAATACCCGAATGACGAATTCTGTGGTAATGTTGATTCCTTCAGTGGGGCAGGGGAGGTATTACCTTGAAACTATTTTTGTTTCCTGCACACTTGGAACCATACACGTCTCAATGGCAACATAGTTCCTGTTGAGAGCAGTGGAAGTTCCACACATGGATCCAAAGCATTGTATGCAACTCTGCTATTAAAGAAGGTCAAATAACTATTTCACTAGTTTGGTAGTTTTTGCTTTATGCTCTATTGATGACAAGAAATTAATCTAATTCTAAATTTAGTTATGAAATTTGCATTTAACATCTCTCGGACAATTTAGGCTATTTGATATTGGGTGCTAGGAAACCAATAGAAAAGTGAAAGAGGTACTTGTTTAAAGTATCTGATTATTTTTTTCAAATGATTAAATGTTAACTCTGATAAAATTTGAAACAAAGTTCTTATTTTGGAATGCAGTAGAATGTTATAAAGGTTGTAGAAAATATAGTTAGAGCAAAAACTATTTGAAGTCCAAAGTGGCCATGTGTAAAGACTGAGAGTAGAGTATATGCCCAAGTAAATTACTATTTCTCAAGCAAAAAAACAGAAACTAAACTAAAAAGTAAACAACTGCCTCCTACTAGTGAAGTTTAGAAACTTACTTCATGATATACTAGCATGAAGCTTAATTAAGTAATAAGTGCTGCTCAGATAACAAAATAGAATTCCTGTATCTCCCTTAAATGAAGATAAGGTTTAATGAATCCCTTTCTCCAAATGAAAAGTAAGCCAATCCAGTTGTTGTTTGAGCTAAGGAAAGAAGGGCCCTATTGCTAAGAATTAACATATCTGTAGTCTATGATCATACAACCACTTAAATACTAATAATACTAAATAATATTTAGCTTTTACAGTGCCTTACATCCAATGATGTCAGAGCAATTCACAGACTTGAACTGATTTTAAGCCTGACACCACCTCTGTAAGATAGATAGGAACAGAGATGTATTGCCAAAGGAATAGGAGAATTTTGTGGGTTGGCTTGAGGCTCCTGTTAATTTCCCCGGTTATGCTCTTCTTCACATAGAGCTAACAGCAAGCACTGTAATACATTCACTTTCTATTTTTTTCGTATTGAATCGAAAACCATGACTATCACTTCTAATTTTTCCACCTTGGCAAAAATTATAGCAGGCGGTGAGGAGGACAGGCTTCCATGGCCAGCATTTTTTTAAATTTAATTTAATGAAGGAGAGAAGAGGCTGGTGCCCCCTGCTGGTCGCTCCGGGAATTAGCTCTTGACTGCTGTAGAGCACCCTAGACACGTGGTAGCTCGCCCGTTATCTCCGTCCTGCTGTCCTGCTCAGCGGTGTCCTCTTCAGGAGGGTCTTCATCCGCTTCAGGACACTGCCCTCCGGCAGTGCCCACTACTCTGGTCTCACCCCATTCCGGGGGGGTGTTGTTAACAACAGTCCTTCTGTTTGCCCCTGCCTCGGTGGCCAGCCACAACCCTAGAGTCTAGGCCCTAGTCTTAGGGGCGGGTCACGGTCTGTCTCGGTCCCTCTCCTCGGTGGCCAGGGGCAATGCCAGGGTGGAAGGGGGGACCCAGGCCCACCTGCTACTCTGGGTCCCGACCCAGGGATCCTCTAGTGGCGGCTTACCTCTGTTATCCTCCTCTCTGCTCTTGCCCGCTTAGCTTCCGTGGGCCACTTCCCCTTTGGCCCTATGCACCTTCTCGATCCCTTCTAGCAAGGGCCGCAGCCTGGCAGGTATCCGGGCTGAAGCCCCGCTCCTCTTCCCCAATCCTGCCCAGCACTGCTCTGTCCAAGGTGCTGTTCCTTAGCTCAGGAGCTAGTCCTTCTTCCTCACTAGTCAGGGATTGACTGACTTCGCCTCTGCTAAGCAGCCTTTATATAGGACCCAGCCTGGCCCTGATTGGCTGCCTCTTTCCCTGCCTTAATTGGCTCTTCCCAGGCCTTGGCTGACTGGCTGCTGGTCTGCGCAGCTTCTCGGGCCTGGTTCAGCCCTTCTTCTCAGGGGGTGGGGCACCACTCCACCACACTCCCCCAAAGACTTTTTTTTGGTAAGTTACTCACTGTGACAGTTCTTTATTGGAACAATATGGTGATAATGCTTACCAGGTGTGTTGAGGACAAATATGTACATTAAATAATGTAAGGCACTTAGATACTTATAGGATCCCCTTCACCATAGTATAGGGTTGCCATCTTGGTAGTATTTAAAAACCAGACACTCCAGCATTAGTGCCGGAACCTCCCCTGCCCTGCCTCTTTTCCCCAAGGCACCACCCCTCTCCTGCCCAAAGCCCTGTCTCACCCCTTCCCTGAGGCCCTGCCTTTTCCTCTGAGGCCCCACTCTGTCCACTCCTCTTCTCCCCTCTCCCCATCTCTCACTACTTTTCCTCTCCTATCCCTCACCCCCCTGCCTGGTCAGGAGGATCTTGCCTTCGGAGCCACAGCTGGAAGCTGCAGCCACCTGACACAGGTAGGAGGTGACCCAGGCTGAGTAGAGGCTGGCGTGTGATGACCCAGCGCCTTGCCACCTCCACTGCCCTCAGTAACCGGACTTTGAGTGTCCGGTCAGTAGATCTGACCGGACACTGTGAGGTCCCCTTTTCAACCGGACTTTCTGGTCGAAAAACCGGCATCTGCCCACCCTACCATAGTACCTAAGATAGATTAATAAGTGAGGATAAAAAATATACAGTAACTTCAAAATCATCTATTCAGAATATACACACTGATTTATTTCCACATAAATAGCCTTAAAACACTTATACATATAATGTAAAAGCTGAGGGGGGCAGAGAACAATAACTATGTTAATCAAAGACTTCCCAGAAATTGAACCATTTTTTCCATTATAGTCACGCAGTTGGATATCCACACACACAAGAGTGGCTAAATCTGCTAATCCAGTTCCACTCTTGCCAAATTTAATGCTAAGAATGTCTTCAAATGCAGTAATATGACTCTTTTGGCATTTAAACTGGTCTTTAGCAGAAATTTCTCTGGAGCCTTATTTGTATTTGACAAGTTTGTTTTAATTCCTTCTCCCCTAATAAGAATGACCTGTTGTGGGACAAATCAACCAACATTAGGAAAGAAGGGTCTTTGGACAGAGAGTGGGAACTAAGAGGAGAGCTAAAGGAGTTCTTTTCAATATCCACAACTTGGAACCCACACTTCAGCCTTTTGCTTTGGACTTGCCTAAAGCAATGCCCATGCCTGTACTTTGAAAATCTTGGGGTAGGTCTCAGCTGGTATAAATTGTCATAGCTCCATTGAATACAATTTACACCATCTGAAAAACTACCTCATTATGTTTTTGTTGGACCCTTAAAGGGATAGGATAAATTATACATTTACATTTCTGTTTTACAATAAAGAACATGACTAACTTTCTAACAAGCTAGTAATAAACTATTATTATTAATGTTTTAGGTTTTCATCCCTAATGAATTTTCTAAGAGTCAAACATGAAGTACTCTGTTTAGTCTGTCAAGACTGCTGTATGTCAAAACTGGAAAGGGCATATTGTAAAGTGAGATATCTAAAGATTACTGGTCTCTCTCCTTCTCTTTGCTCTAGAATTTTACCTAATATCCAATCACCAGAAAACAAACAAGAAAGTTAATAAGTTATCCCAATCTCTGAATTTCCCAGTGCATCCCATATTTTGTCTATCTGTTGGGGCTCAGTCTTGCAAACATTCACTTCTGGTGATAGGACCTGAGTATAGTCAATATAAGACTAGTGTGACTTCAGTAGGGCTGCTCACAGTAGTAAGTACTATTCCCAATAATAACTGTTTGTGGGACTATAAACTTTTGGGGGACAGATGGACTTTATTTTATCTACTTACAACATTAAACACACTGGTGCTAAACAAATAATAAATACTAGTGACAAGTAAATTGATGTATTTTAAGCAATAACGTGATCTTCTCACCATTCCAGTTTTCTGCTGTTGTATCTAAACTAAAATTGAATTTATTTAAAATATGCCTAGTGATCTTTCCCAGTTTATGACCTCAGCTGGAAATTCTCATTCCTGACCTCTTTCTAACACAGCTTGTATATACATTTCATATAAGAAAGATACCAAGGTGAAATGCTTGGCTTTTGCTTATGTAATTTTGCAGTGAGACAGTTTTTTTTTTTAACTCAAGATAACAAAAATATTTCACCTGGCAAACTTTAATTCTAGCTCACTGACTTATTTTTAATCTAGAAATTAAAAAATAAAATATCAGATGACATGTACTGATATAAAATGGGGCACATGAACTGGACAGTTAACACCATATAATATGGTAGTTACTTTTTGTTTCAGAACCTGGAACAAGCAGGGCTTGTGATTATTTTTGTTTTTCTTGCAACTCTTTGTACTCACTCAACTCTATCTTGCATGCTGACATAAAAACATTTTTTCTTTTCAAAAAAATGCTTGTGAATTAACCCAATTCAAGTGTAACAAATGAAAAGAAAATCATCCAACTGCAAAAGGCAGTTTTTTGCCATTTATTTCGTACTGTGAAAACAAATACCCAATAAATTATTTTATAGAGGTTTATTGCTTTAAATATTTTTTTCTCCCGTTTACTCTTTTAGTTTATTGAAAACACACACACACACAGAGTAGATTTTGTTATGGTATGTATAAAAAATCCTTAATGGTAATTAAGTTTGTGGAACTATTTGAGGCTTGATTGTACTAGGAAAAAATGAAAGTTTAACACTTCAGTGTGCATTAAATATGACTACCATATATACTCTATCATAAGCCGGTTCATTTATAAGCCAACCCCCCTCCCCCCAAGATGGATAAGTAAAAATGGAAAATTTTTATAACCCGTTCATAAGCCGACCCGATAATTCAGGGGTCAGCAAACTTTGGCTCCTGGGCCATTAG